TGGTCATCTCCCAGCCTGACCAGCTAAGACCAGGCTGGAAATGGCTGGAAAGCAGCCTGGAAATGGCCAATGCCCTCTAAAAACCAGGCCGATCGACCAGCTAAATCCAGCCAACCATCCTAGGCTGGTTTAAGATGGATTTTTCAGCAGGGTGACCATTAAAACAAACACATTTGATTGGTTTATAATTTGTGTGGGACATATTCCATTAGGACTTATTGGGTTTTAAGGGGATATTTGGGATAGTTCACTCAAAAATCTAAATTCTGTCATCATGGGTATCAATCAACCCAGTTTCAATGTGCCTTTTGAAGTATCACATGAGAAAGGAGTCATAGAAATAAAAATATTTCGGTAACACTTTACAATAACAGTACATGATTAATGATGTATTAATATGTAAACTAAAGATTACTTTATTATGAATTAATGATGAGTTAAGGTATGCACTAATCATGAATTAACTTTAACTACAACATGATTCACATGAGTTCATGTGTGAATGACCAGCCTGATCTCACGATAAAACGTAAGTATTTTACGTTTTGCCAGTTTAGTGGCTAATTCGTACGAATTCGTACGAGTTCAGTCGTACGAAATGGTACGATTTTAAAAAGGAGGCGTGGCACCTGACCCCGCCCCTAACCCCAACCGTCATTGGGGATAAGCAAATTGTACGAATTAGATCGTACGAATTCATACGAATTAGCCACTAAATGAAAAAGTTACGAATTGCCGTGAGATTGTGTTGCAATGACGGCTACCTTAATTACTTGTTAGTACATAATTGTTTGTTAATTAATGTATTGATTACCACATTAGTTTATGCTTAATTTAACCATGATGAACTCATGATATTTTAATGTATAATTACAATATAAATCATGACTTTACTTGGAGGGGCACATCATCATTAACCTATTCTTAATTACTCATGAACTCATGCTTGTCCAACTAGTGAGTTTACACTGAATAACAACTGAAAAGTGTTCTGTCAAGATCAGCATGAACAGGGGTTCATGAGTAGTTAAGGATGAGTTAATAGTGATGTGCCCCTCTAAGTAAACTCATGACAAAACTATACATTAACAGCTCATGAGTTCATGTTGGTTACATTTAGCTTAAACTCAAATGGTAATTAATACATTAATTAACAACATGTACTAACAAGTAATTAAGGTAGTCATTATTTACACATGAACTCATGTGAGTCATGTTGTAGTTAAAGTTAATTCAGGATTAGTGCATACTTTAACTCATCATTAATTCATCATAAAGTAATGTTTAGTTTACATATTAATACATTATTATTCATGTAAAATTTGTAGAATTTGTAGAAACGCATTTGTCGAACAAACTCTGATGTAGTGAGCATTACACCCACATGAGTCCATTTTGCTTGCCTTGTTACTGGGTTACCGATACTACAGTCAGCCATTTTAAGGCAGGTCACAGAGCGGTGTGGTTAAAAAGGTTGTTGCCATAGATATTTAGGGCGTACTCACATTATGCTATCCGAATCGTGCCTAGGCCCGTTTCCCGGGTCGTTTGAGAAGTGTGAGTGCTCTGAATCGGGCGCAGGCACAAGTACATTTTGATATTTTCAAATGTTTTTTAATGATAATTTATGGCTAAAATGTCTATAATAAAGGGTTAAAAAACTATTTGTATTTTAATTATCAAAAACACCACAAATTCTGGACAACTGCTTTTTTTTACAGGGAAGATAGCTTAAACATGGAGGAAACTTTCAGAAGGCCAAGCCATTGTGTTTAGCGAACAATGATTGATGAGTGTTTGGATAAGAGCAAGGATTTGCTCGCTGGGAACTGCTGCAGATAACAGGGAAGAGGAAATTAATATGAAATATGAGTAAACACTGGCAGAGGAATGTTCAAGTGGCGGCCTGATCCAAAGCAGCAGGGAAAAATTCCACGAAGCATGTTTCCTCCTTCACGTATATGCATCACACCCATGACTTAGCGATTTCAGAGAGATTATGAAAATGTATGAAGTGTGAGGGTCTGCAATTACATAATGCCATGAAGCTTAATAGATTGATCCGAGAGACAAAACCAGTGGCTTTTGAATAAAAGTCACATGCTAGAAGCCCCATGACCTGAAACTAACGGTTGATTATTATTTGAGGAACTGCTTCAGGCAGAAATAAGTACCTCACAAAAATTAACCATCTTTTTACTTGTGTAGAAACCATGGTGTTCTGGCACATTTGTCATTGTGTAATCAGTTTTACAGTCGGTTAAACAATGCAGGCCTAAAAGCATGGCTGCATTTGTCATGGTTTGACAACAATAACCATGATTTTCTGCAGTAGTAATTTGTAGTAATATCAGAACGTAATATTTAAAATGTATGGCTCTCTAAGGGCGGCACACATTAAAAACACTAAAGTAATTTATAGTAAATACTGTAGTGTTTTTAAACTACTCTATAGCCTACAGTGTGTTGTGGTGATACTGTGGTGATGCTATGCTAAGCTGCTAACACAACAACTATAGTAAAATGTCAAAATAAACAAATGACAGTAGTTTTCTACAACTATAGTTTATTTTATACTCTAATACACCACACTTTACTGTCGTCACAATGAAGTATCAGTATTTATTAATTTAATTTACAAAGCGTTATAGATTTTATAATATTTACAGTTTAATACACTTTACTTTAGTACAGCTCAAAAACAGTAGTGTTTACTATTGTCATTTTTGTGTGGGAGTTTGTACACAATGTAATACACTTCACTGTAGAATGGTTAAAAAAACACTAGTATTTACTATAGTATTTTTTGTGTGGGAATTTATATGGTATAATACACCTTACTCTTGTATGGTTCAATAAACACTAGTATTTACTATAGTATTTTTTTCAATTGGAACTTTATATACTGTATAATACACTTTACTGTAGTATGGTCAAAAAACACTAGTATTTACTAAAGTATTTTTAGTGTGGGAATTCATACGGTATACCATACCTTACTCTAGTATAGTTCAGTAAACACTAGTGTTTACTATAGTATTTTTTCGTGTAGGAATTCATATGGTATAACACACCTTACTCTAGTATGGTTCAGTAAACACTAGTATTTACTATAGTATTTTCTTTGCGTGGAACTTTATATACTGTATAATACACTTTACTGTAGTATGGTCAAAAAACACTAGTATTTACTAAAGTATTTTTTAGTGTGGGAATTCATACGGTATACCACACCTTACTCTAGTATAGTTCAGTAAACACTAGTGTTTACTATAGTATTTTTTCGTGTAGGAATTCATATTGCATAACACACCTTACTCTAGTATGGTTCAGTAAACACTAGTATTTACTATAGTATTTTCTTTGCGTGGAACTTTATATTCTGTATAATAAACTTTACTGTAGTATGGTCAAATAAAACTAGTATTTACTATAGTATTTTTTAGTGTGGGAATTCATATGGTATACCACACCTTACTCTGGTATGGTTCAGTGAACACTAGTATTTACTATAGTATTTTTTTCATGTGGGAACTCATATGGTATACCACACCTTACTCTAGTATGGTTCAGTAAACGCTAGTGTTTGCTATAGTATTTTTTTTCGTGTGGAACTTTATATACAGTATAATACACTTTACTGTAGTATGGTCAAAAGTATTTACTATTGTATTTTTTGTGGAACTTTATATACAGTATAATACACTTTACTGTAGTATGGTCAAAAGTATTTACTATAGTATTTTTGTGGAACTTTATATACAGTATAATACACTTTACTGTAGTATGGTCAAAAGTATTTACTATAGTATTTTTTGTGGAACTTTATATACAGTATAATACACTTTACAGTAGTGTGGTCAAAAAACACTAGTATTTACTATAGTATTTTTTTCATGTGGGAATTCATATGGTATACCACACCTTACTCTAGTATGGTTCAGTAAACGCTAGTGTTTGCTATAGTATTTTTTTTTTCGTGTGGAACTTTATTTACAGTATAATACACTTTACTGTAGTATGGTCAAAAGTATTTACTATAGTATTTTTTGTGGAACTTTATATACAGTATAATGCACTTTACTGTAGTATGGTCAAAAGTATTTACTATAGTATTTTTTGTGGAACTTTATATACAGTATAATACACTTTACTGTAGTATGGTCAAAAGTATTTACTATAGTATTTTTTGTGGAACTTTATATACAGTATAATGCACTTTACTGTAGTATGGTCAAAAGTATTTACTATAGTATTTTTGTGGAACTTTATATACAGTATAATACACTTTACTGTAGTATGGTCAAAAGTATTTACTATAGTATTTTTTGTGGAACTTTATATACAGTATAATGCACTTTACTGTAGTATGGTCAAAAGTATTTACTATAGTATTTTTTGTGGAACTTTATATACAGTATAATACACTTTACTGTAGTATGGTCAAAAGTATTTACTATAGTATTTTTTGTGGAACTTTATATACAGTATAATACACTTTACTGTAGTATGATCAAAAGTATTTACTATAGTATTTTTGTGGAACTTTATATACAGTATAATACACTTTACTGTAGTATGGTCAAAAGTATTTACTATAGTATTTTTTGTGGAACTTTATATACAGTATAATACACTTTACTGTAGTATGGTCAAAAAACACTAGTATTTACTATAGTATTTTCATGTGGGAGTTTATATACAGTAATACAATGTGCTGTACTATGGTTCAATAAACAGTATTTACTATAGTATTTTTTCGTGTGAACCTTTATATACAGTAACTTATGAGACACTTCACTGTAGTGTGGTTCAAAAAACTGGTATTTACTATAGTATTTTTTCGTGTGGAAGTTCACAACTTGGCTGTGTGACTGAAATAGACAAAAAGGATACAGTTTATGATACGTGAACTACTTCTGCGGCTATTTTAGTCATTTACATAACAATGACTTTGGAAAACCGCACATCTCCGCCTGTGTTCGGGGAGGAAAATTTGCAAAGTCATGCTGCCATAAACACTTCTCTGTAATTTGGTCTTTCCACGGAGCATTTACTCCTCGGAGCAGCGCATCTTGCAGAGTATCGCGAGACTTGAGCACGACCTATTTAAACACCAGCCGCTGCCCGCGAGTTCACTTTCATTCATTCACTCTCGGATTGTGAAGACAGTTCAAGGTAAGGAAGACTTCGTGAAAGCGTTTCATACTCTTTATTTGCTTTCCCCTCACCGAAGTGAAGTAAATATACAAATATACACGCTTTGTGTTCTTTATCATGGACATTTCCGTGTAAACACGAGGCTGCTTTTGGAAGGAGAGTTTCATTTTTGGTAATGGTTTATTTACATTTATGGTGTTTTCCTATTCAATAAATACATTTGATTAATATTGCGTTGTAAAATGTTAAATATAAAAACTTTTTTTTAAGACTCACACTTGTTGCACTTCAGTGTATGCTTTATTTGTATTTAGTGTTAAATGACCATTTTATTACCATAAATGACCGTATGAGGATCTTTCTAATGTTCTTGTTTTCTTCCTAATACATTTATTATTGTAATGGATTATACCATGCTTCTATTCTATGGTACTGTATTGACATGAATGTCTGTGGCTATTACTGCATGTTTTGCAAACTGAGGAAATTTTAACGTTACGAAAGAAAGCAAAGGAGTTTCTGAATACTAACTGCCATATTCAACTTTAATTTGCATTTTGAAAACCTTAATTTGTTTGATATTTGAATAAGTTTTTGTTCTTAATCTATTTATGTTTCATATAAACATTTTTATGCATTTACCTATCAGTGCATTTTCAACTGTTAAATATGAGTTTTTCTTTTTATGAAGATGCATAATTGTTGCTCTTCAGTGTTTTATTTCTATGTTTATCTTTTCAGTGTATTCTAGTAACGTTATGCAATGAACACAATTTTAGCTTTTTATTTGACACTCATTGAAACCATGAAGTGTTACAGATGGTTAATATAAAAGTTTTGAACTTTAAAAAAAATTATATTGTAATCAATGTAACTGAAGTTAGAATCTTTGAATCTTTGCTCAGTATTTTACTTTCTAATACGTTTATTATTATAATAGATTATATGCCATGCTTCTATACTACAGTATGGTACTGTATTTAAATAAATGTCTGTGGCTATTGCTACACGTAGCCAACAAAATTTTGACATGACGAAAGAAACCAAAAGAGTTCCTAAATGCTGAAAACTGGCATATTCAACATTAGTTTGCATTTTGAGAACATAATTTTTCGGGTAATTTAATTTTATAATTGTACTTATAATTGCAAAGTTTTTGTTATTAATCTATTTTTTTATTTTCATATTCATAAGTGTAAAATATTCAACAACAAAAAAACGGTTTTACTGTGTTTCAGAAGGAACTAAAAAGTTATTTCTGTATTATTCAACATAATAGAAAGGCTATTAAAACTGTCCATTTATATTCTGTTTTCAAAATATTTGATTAATGTAAAAGTCCTGCTTATCTGTAATTGTGTAAAAAAACTTGTTTAATGTATTAATTTATTTAAAAAATTTAAAAATGTGCCATAAATACAGTATTAATAAAATATAAAACAATTTTTAACAACGTAAAACATAAAAATGTAAAAATAAAATAAATCACTAGAAAAAAAGCAAAATGTAAACATTGTACTCTTAAGAACTTTGTAATGATGCTGTTTTTCTGTCTGTCTGCATATTGATGTGTAATATTGCTCTCAAATATATTATGGAATATATTACCATAAACAATGGATTTTTCAGAGTCAGACTATATGAAATAAAGCAAAATATAATAAAAAAATAATTATTGTTATTATGGATGTTTCCCAGTGTTGGGTTGCAGATGGAAGGGCATCTGATGCATAAAAATATGCTGGATAAGTTAGCGCTTTATTGTGCTGTGGTGACCCTGGAGTAATAAAGGCGCTAAGCAGAAAAAATGAATGAATGGGGTTTTTGTTTTTTAATTTTTTTATTTCATGTTTTTTTTGCTTTCTATCGCTCTGGCATTTTATTGTTTGTTCTATCACGTACTTTGTTCTTTAACGCATAATTAAATCAAAATAATCTATTTTATTATTGTCCTACTTAATAATATATTTTATCATATGCTCTGAAATGTAGCATTAATGTCTTGTTTTGATTCATTTAATTTTAATTTTTTCTCATATATATATCTCATATAATACATAAATATATATATATAATACATAAATATAAAAAAAAAATATATATATATATATATATATATATATATATTTATATTTATATATATATATATATATATATATATATATATATATATATATATATATTTATATATATATATATATATATATATATATATTACACACACATATATACACATAGTGAAAAGTATACGTTAACATTGAATTGCAACATCTGTTTATATTTTCCAAAACAACTAACCACAGAGTTATGGGAGTAGAAAATTATCTTTCTGTAAACCTATTTTATATTTTAAATGAGGGAAATAAAGATGCGTTATGGATGTGACAAAGAAGTATGCAAGTTTACAGCTCACAACATACTTTTGTAGAAATTCTGTGAATTAAACTACACAACACAAGAAACCATGATAATCAAGAGGATAAATTATTGATTTTATTTTATTTGACCTTTTTTTTTTTGCATTAATAAGGAAAAGGCTCCATTATGGATGTGACATCTCTCCGTTATCAATGTGACAGATGTGAAATTGGCACTTGTGTGATTTTGGTAAATCGAATATAATAGTTTTGAAACCTAAACAGAGACATTTTTCTCTCTCTTCAACAGAAAATGGCAGCTGGAAATGCACACATTGGGAAACCTGCTCCGGATTTCACAGCCAAAGCAGTGATGCCTGATGGACAGTTTGGAGATGTCCGTTTGTCTGACTACAAAGGTATGAAGATGCAGAGAAGAAAAGCTTCTAAAGTACACTGGATATCCTTTAATATGTAATACACTGTGAATATATTTAACAGTACATGTTATGCATCTTTTTATTAGTTTACAAAAAACAATCTCTGCAATGAAGTATTGCTGGAAAATCAAGGGTGTGACTTTCTGTCACACAAATATTTTATTAAAGAGACAGCACCCATTGTGTGAGTGCCGCTGTGCAGTTGTGACAAACGCTCTGCTCTTGTTTGTAGGGAAGTATGTGGTGCTGTTCTTCTATCCACTGGATTTCACCTTTGTCTGTCCCACTGAGATCATCGCCTTCAGTGATGCTGCCGAGGAGTTCAGGAAAATCAACTGCGAGATCATTGGTGCTTCTGTCGATTCCCACTTCTGCCATCTTGCCTGGTGAGCAAAACATTGAGGGGGTTGTTCGATCGTTTGATATTTCCCCTGATGTCCTTTTGATCAAGTTTAATATATTCTGTTATTTTTAACAAGCTGAATGGGTGTTTTTAAAATATATTTTATGTTACGTTATGTTCTGTGTGTGACCCTGCATGGATCACAAAACTAGCCAAATATGTAGCCAAAATTACAAAAATACAATGTTACATTGTTTATTTTAGTACAAAATCATTAGAATATCAAGTAAAAATTATCTTTTATAAAGCCGTTTTGTAAGAGATTAACCATAAATCTACATAACTTTTTTTTTATTAGTAATATGCATTGCTAAGAATGGAGTTAGCATCTAAAGGCTTTTTTATTATTATTATTTAATTTTTTTTCATACATTATTTATTAATTTTTATTCATATTTATTTATATTCATTGTTCTTAATATTTATTTATGTATTTTATTTATTCGTTTATTTTAATTTATTCACTTATTTTTATTTATATTTATTAATTTTTATTTGTTAATAATTTTTTTTTTTATTATTTATTAGTTTATTTTTATTTTATTTATTCATTTATTTTTATTATTTAGTTTTTTTTTTGACCCTCATATTCAAAATTTTTTTTATTGTTTGTATTTTGGCCAAATGTTGCGGAGAGCCTATTTATGCCAAAAAAATTACTCTTATGGCTATTTTTGTGATTTTGGTGTCCGATATTTTCTAAACCAATAATGCTAATTAACCAAATAACTAACTAAACATTTAAATTTGATTATATTCATTTATTTTTTATTTATATTCATTAATTTTTATTTGTTGTTTTTTTATTTTTTATTTTATTTTTTTATAATTTATTTTTATTTGTATTTATTCATTTATTTATTTATTCATTTATTTTTATTTACTTTTATTTATTCATTCATTTTTATTTTTTGTGTTTTTATCTATTTATTTTCATTTAGTTAGTTATTTTTATTTATTCATTTTTTTATTATTATTTTTTTGTTTTCTAACCATCATATTCTAAATTTTTGAATGTTTATATCTTGGCCAAAATGTGGAGCTATTTTATGCCAAAAATTTACACTTTTGACTGGTTTTGTGATTCGGTGTTAAATATATTCTACACCAGTAATGCTAATTAACTAAATAATCAACTAAACTAACTAAAGATAAGCAAAGGCAAGAAGAAAAATAGCATTTGGGTATCCGCTTCCTGGAGGAAGTTTTAAGTTCAGCCAATTAAGGATAATGTGTTCCTCATGACTTATTCAATATTTATGTCCTCTGCTTTTGTTATAGTGATGGTTAATACTTAGTTAGTGGAGTTATTCAATATATATATATATATATGTAGCCACCAGTGAATGATAATGTTTTATGTCTGTGTGACCATTTTGAAAATAGACATGATCAGGTTGTACATGATGTTGTATATGAGATGTAGAATCGGCCACTCGAGACGTACACACTCCTATTTATTTAAAAGGGAAAGAACTATTTGTGACTTGTAAACAAATATTTTGATGAATAAACATATTTTAATTGAAAGTGTTTTTAAATGATATTAGAGAATGTTTTTATTCAGGGAATATTTTTATTGAAAGAGATGCGTTTTATAAATATTTATCATTAATCAGACTTAAAGATTGTAAATGATTCTTTTCAGTGCTGCTGTTATTTGTGTGGTTTTTCTATAATGAACGTTATTAAGAAACTGATATAATTGCATGTTATATATTATATATTTAGTATAGGTTTTGCCATCATTGTAGCCAATGCTGCTGATAGGGTATTAAACCATAAATAAAATGTGTGTCTATGATCACAACAGGACCAAAACACCCCGAAAACAAGGTGGTTTAGGACCAATGAATGTCCCTCTGGTGGCAGATACTCTCCGCTCCATTTCTAAAGACTACGGTGTACTTAAAGAAGATGAGGGTATTGCATACAGGTATGGATGGTCTACCCGAAAAATCAATACACTACTACTACTACATGTACACTACTAAGTACCATATACACTGAGGGTGAAAAGTTACTAGGCAATGGTTAAAGATCTAGTTAATCCAAAAAGAATAATTTACAGGTAAACTACCCATACTCTATCTAGGTGACTTTATTTATTATTTTTTATTTATTTAATATATTTTTATAATGCAAGTCATGGTTACCTGTTTTTAAGATAAAAAATAAATGCATACAAACCAGTCCAAACCAATCCCCATGGCTCATGATGAAACGCTAAAGTCTTATGAAGCTAAACGATTGGGCTATGTAGGAAATTGAACATGGTTTACAATATTATTTATGGTTCATGTGCACAAGTGTAGTGAGTGTAAGCTTCCGGTTGCTTTATGACCGGGATCACCAAACTTGTTCCTGGAGGTCCAGTGTCCTGCAGATTTTAGCTCCAACCCTAATCAAACACTCCTGAACAAGCTAATCAAGGTTTTACTAGGTACTCTTCGAACAGCCAGGCTGGTGTGTTGAGGCAATATGGAACTAAACCCTGCAAGGGCACCAGACCTCCAGGAACGAGATTGGTGACCCCTGCTTTGACTTCAGCCTAGCTGTGGATTAAAGCTAACAATATTATAAATAATTTTCAATATCCGACCCAGACCAATTGATTCACTTCATAAGACTTCAGTGTGTCATCAGGAGCCATGGCCGTAGATTTGGACTTGTTTGATTGCGTTTATTTTGAACCTAAAAAGGGTAACCATTCACTGTCGTTATTTGAATCCCCAAGGACCACAGATTCAGCTCAAAATCTTCTTTAATATTCTAGTGGAAAAAAAGTCGCTGACAACTTTGATCTGATAGTGAGTATATTAATCTACAATTGTTCATTTTTGGGTGAGCTATCATCAAGTCCTCATGGAATCTGTGCCTGCAGATTCCCACCAATTTCGAGTTCGTCATTGAAATGACTTATTAACTTGTGTAAATGTGAAAATATATATTTATTCAGTTTTTATATTATAATTTCAGTAATATTATTTGACAAAAGTGCAAATATATAGGTGGGGATTAATATACAAATTTTCTGTGTTTTGGTAAAAGTATAAGAGAGACTTGCAGTAGCTTTGCTTGCCAAACAAGTGGTTCTAATTGGATTTGCATTGTAAACCTTAAAGTGTTTTTTTTTAAGGTAAGTTTTTACTTGCTATACTATCAAAATTGTTCCACAAATCCTTTCTATTTTATTAATTTTTCTCAGTATGCCGGTTGTAGACTTTATTTCAAACTTTGATGCAGAAATGGCAAAAAAGTCTGTCTATCACTTTATTGTCTATAGACCCAACAATGTTTTGATTTAGTGTCTAATTCGTATGAATTTGTATGATCTCATTCTTGCAATTTAGTACGATTTGTTTATCCCCCAATGATGATTGGGTTTAGAGGTGGAGTTGAGTGACACACCTCCTTTTTAAAAACGTTCATTTTCATGCGTCTTTACCAACGCTATCTCATGGCAATTCATAACTTTGTAATTTAGTGACTAGTTTCTATGAAATCGTACTAGGTCATTGGTACAATTTAGTACAATTTGCTTATACCCCAATGACGGTTGGGTGTAAGGGTGGGATTGGGTGCCACGCCTCTTCTTTTGCAAATTCTGTAGGGGCTGCATGGTATTTAAAAAAATTATTATTATTTTTTTTTTTTTTACTTTGTTAAATATTGCGATTATAAATACAGTTTCACAGATAGTTTAAATATCACAATTTAATTGTTTTCTGGGGCGTCTAGAAGTATGTAGGAACAAAGAAATTGAATAACCAAAATAGAAATAAAATGTTTTTCTTACTTTTTGTCTTGTTTCCAGTCTAAAATATCCAGAAATTCTTCGAGCAAGTAAAACATTGTTTTGTTTTCATCGTCAGAAGAAATATCACTTTTAAGAGATTTTCCTTTAAGCAAGTTAAATGATCTGCCAGGAGGGTACGTGAAATATACTGGGGGTTTTTTTTCTTTGAAATATAAATATTTGGACTAGAAACAGGACAAAAATTTAAGGCAAGATATATAAAATGTATACATTTTTTTTGCATAAATCATATAAATTGCACAGAATACAGTGGTTAAATACAATTCTGTAGCTCCTACTCCACTATAATTCGAACTCAACATTGCATATCTTTGTGATGTGATTGGGCTGGTATGAGATTCTAACAGTATGATAACCTTTGATATAAATATCACGGTTTCACGGTATTGTAATTACTGCTCTAAAATATATTCTTTTTAAATTTCTGGGTAAAATTTTTTTTTTTCGATTTGAACACAATTGCTGCATCCGAAATTGCATACTTCCATACCATAGTATGCTAAAAGAGGATAGAGAATTCATGAATGGGAGTGAAGCGGGTATGTCACATGATGATGACAAAATGGCATTCATACTATGTCTGCGCTCTATTCATACTACTTGCATTCATACTGTATAAAACACACTTTTCTATCAGTCAAGTAATGCATTCAAATTCAAATGCAGTACCTACTGATTTCGGAAACAGCCAATATATTTTATTTTGTGAACCATTTAAAACACTTTGTAACAATAAACATATCAGGCTAATTAAAAAAGCCTGCTGTCTTCCTTAGTTTCAAAAACAGATTTCTTTACAATTTGAAGCCGCATGTTTCTCTATATTTTCTGTTGGTGATACTGCTGTCCTAAAAAAAGGAAAACAAAAAAACATATACCTTGGGAACGGTATCACAGAATATTTTGGCAGTTTTAAAACCTTAACTTTTCCAAATTGCTGTATACCTTGAACACGCTTACCGTCTCATGCCTAGATGTGACTATTGCAGATGTGCACATTGCAATATCCATGCTAAAACGATATATTAAGCCCTACTCTACTATAAATTTGGTCATATATTTAATTCTGTGTGGTATTAAAAAAAAAGTCTTAAATAAACTCTTAGAAACCTGCAGATACCCTGTATAATAAAACAACCCGAATGATGACTTTTTTTTCTTTATCACAGGGGTCTTTTCATTATTGACGACAAGGGCATTCTGCGGCAGATTACCATCAACGATCTGCCAGTCGGTCGCTCCATTGATGAAACCCTGCGCTTGGTGCAGGCCTTTCAGTTCACCGATAAGCATGGAGAAGGTAACACTTTCTCATCTCTGACCTGATTCCATGTAACATTCCTTTTTCATACTGTACAGTGTCTACAATCAGAGGTAAAGGGGAAATGAATTACATACATGAGTATTTAAAATAGGTAAATAAGTCCGTTAGCAACAGTAATCTTGCATATAAACTTGTTTTTGTTTTGCGCATGCTTTTTTTTTCTAGTTTGTCCAGCCGGATGGAAGCCTGGAAAAGACACTATTAAGCCCGATGTCAATCAGAGCAAAGACTTCTTCTCCAAGCAAAATTAAAACTAAAAAAGGCACTAGACTCTGCAGCATAGTATAATAGACAGAAGTGATGTGAATTAATGCTACTGGTTGGACTAGTACATCCATTTACAGGTGGTTATTCTTATTATATAGTGTTATATATTGTAAAGTTGTAGGACTAAAGTGTGTCAGACTACCTGAAATGTATTGAACCGTTTGAGTTGGTTTGTTCAACTTTGTCTTACCATTTAGTTTTGTGTGAAAAGAGATGTTTTATAGCGATGACCTTCTGACTACACTGTCAACAATTGCATTTCAAATAATAAACTCGTATTTTGTAAAAGCTTTATTAGTTTATTTGTTACCACTGTTTGATTTGTAAACATTTATAAATCTTCAGTGCTACATGTTTTTCTTGGTCTGTTGTTATCGGATGTGTTAAGAGTGTCGTAAAGTAACAAATTACAAACACTCTGTACTACTGTAATTGAGTAGTTTTTTTTTCTCAGAAATTGTAGTTTACTAAAGTAGTTTTAATGTGTACTTTTACTTTCCCTTGAGTACATTTTTAATGCAGTATCGGTAAGTTTACTCCACCACTGTCCTTCATCCTGCAGTCATTACTTTATTTTCTCTTGTCTATGGGGATTAGAAGTCCAGTGACTCCTGTCCAATCAAATCACACAGAAGGCAAATCGCATCATAATGAGCTACCTCAAGACATGAGCGCTTTATAATTGCAACAAACTGTTTGGAAGCATTAGAAGTGTCCAAAAAGGTGTTCTTCACACACATTAACCCAGAGACTATTTGGATGCATGGCACTGATGAGAAGATGACGAATGTTTATTGTTTGACCATTCATTCATTTTCTTTGCTGCTTAGTCCCTTTTTATTAATTTGGGGTCGCCACAGCGGAATGAACCGAATGAACTTATCCAGCATATGTTTTATGCAGCGGATGCCCTTCCAGCTGCAACCCATCTCTGGGAAACATCCATACACGGTTGTACACTCCGGACAATTTAGCCTGCCCTATTCACCTGTATCGCATGTGTTTGGACTGTGGGCGAAACCCGAGCACCCAGAGGAAACCCACAATTGCCAGGAGAACATGCAAACTCCACACAAACGCCAATTGGCCCAGCTGAGGCTTGAACCAGTGACCTTCTTGCTGTGAGGCGACAGCACTACCTACTGTGCCACTGCGTTGCCCCGTATGGTGACCCAAATGGATTTAAACACCCAGCAGACACGGCGTCAACATGATGTTAGATTGGTGTTGTACCTCAACGTTGTGCGGGTGTTGCATTTTATTTGGAACTGAAAATCGGTTTGACGTCAGAACCCAACGTCAAAGTCCAACATGGAACCTAAAACCAACCAAATACCAATGTCTAATGATGTTACAGCTTGATGTTATGTGGATGTTACCACTGTGATGTCTATCAGATATTGGATTTTGGTTGCCATACCTGATGAATAAATCTCAGTATTTGATATCAATATGATGTTGGTTTAAGATTTTGGCTCTGTTGGATTTTGGTCACTTTCCAACACAAATTAACATCAACCAAGTATCAACATCATTTGAAGTTTGACATTATTGGACATCAAAATAATGTACTTAAGACACTGGCTAGACATTGAATTTTGGTCACTTGACATCACAATCTAAATTAACCTAATATTAACATCTTAAGACGTTGTGTGCCTGCTGGGCAATAACTAAAAGCACTACAGAATGTTACGCTTGCACACACATCCACAAATTAAGTAAATGCATTAGCCTTTTACAGCGTAATACTCTCTACACCTGGGTACTTTTAAAAGGTCTACGTTTTACTCATACTTTTGAGTAATATTTACAACAAATACTCTACTTGCACTACATCTTTAAGCAGGTAAATGTGCTTTTACTTGATTTTTCAGTATTCTTTCTACCACTGGATGTGTTTGACCAAAATAAGCCGAACACCAGCTTTTAGTACTCTAATATCATCATGATATATCTCTTCAGCATAGAGTGATGTAAGTAGACTAGCATGCTAATATTCATGCATATGCTTATGTGTGAACCTGGGCCACTAAACCAGACAATAGCCCAAAACACATTGTATGGGTCAAAATCATTGATTTTGTTTTTTTTTTTTTATGCTTGAAATAATTAGAATGATTTTTTTTACTTTTTCTAGGGTAAATATGTCAACTTTTGGATGTAATATGTGCTTTTATGAACCTTTTACTTTCATCAGTATTTGTAGTTTTCTTTTTTTTAACCTTCAGATTCTAGATTTTTAAAAAGTCATATGTCTGTCTGCCAAATATTGTTCTAACAGTGTACACCAGTGAAAAGCTTTTTATTGAACTTTCAGTTGATTAATTTAATTAATTAATTTCCAAAAATTATGAAACATGACTGGTTTTGTGGTCAAGGTTCAGGTTGTGTCACTCCCAGAACCACCCCTTAGTTCAAGCATTTGAATTAGTGTGATAATTTATGTCTTATTTTGATTTATTTTCATATGTAAGGATGTCTCATTTTACAGTAAATTAATGTTCATTTACACTGTGAGGAAATCTGACTATATTCGCAACACAATTTCAAAATATATATATATATATATATATATATATATATATATATATATATATAGTTTGAAGTTCTGTTTGCAATATTATAAAATAAACAAATAAATAAATAAATAAATAAAGTGTAAATAAACACTGTTTTACTGAAAAATGTAATATAACTGTATTCTAATATTTTCATAGTCTAAATAAATCTGCATTAGTACTACATAGTCAAAATATCAGCATTTTCATCAGTGAAATAGCAGATAATTTTAGACAAATCAGTGTTTATCATACGTCGCCCCCTTCAGGACTTTACCGCCAAATGCTCGTGACAGACACCGACAGGGTTACGCGCTTCATTCAATTTGTGACGGGCAGCGGTTTTTCTTTGACGCGGAACTTACCAAGAAACGAAAATATTTGTCAAATAACAGTTTGCCCTGCATAAATATTGATGTATTTATTTAACTAAGGGTTTGTTGGTTTCTTTAGTGTAGCCATAACAGTTTTGCGGGGGTCGTTTTAGTGTGAAGAGACTAACGGCAAAGTAAGCTCAAGAATGACAACCTTACAGAAGAAAGTAAATCAGGACAAACAGGTGCTCGCTGAGGTGAGATACTAACTTAATGAGATTTACACTGTCAACGTATATAAAACAAAATATACACTGCAACCAAATGAGTTAAGTAAAGGTAATGTAAGTTATCTGATATCGTTGAAATGAATGTTACTACTGTTTTACCTTAACGTTCACTTTAAACAACCCTTCAAGTAACTCCGTTAACTGGGATTTTAGCGAAGACAAAAAGTTTAATACGGTGGTATATATCAAATATTAATTTCATCATGTACATTTAAAAACTATTGTAATATTGTCTGAAGACAATGGTTTCATTTAAAATGACAATGTAAGTTAGTGTTTTAAGGCTCATTATTGACCCTTTTTTGACTAAGATCGCTTGTGTTTATATTAAATTGAAGTGATTTTAATTCTGTATGTAACCATACAGGCCTGGTTCTTTTTTCTCAAAATATGGACCTTTTTGCAGTTATTTGTCTCATTTTCTATTTAATTATCATTCTTAAATACTGAATTTTAGAGATATTTTAATCACTATGTTTAGTTGAATTAGCTTGTCGGGTGGTCATCATAACCACACTTTTTGTTCATTAATTTTCTTTTCGGCTTAATCCCTTTATAATCCAGGGTTGCCACAGCGGAACGAACCGCCAACTTATCCAGCAAATCTTTTATGCAGCGGAGGCCCTTTCAGCTGCAACCCATCACTGAGAAACATCCATACACACTCATCCACACTCATACACTACGGACAATTTAGTCTACCAAATTCACCTATAGCATATTTTTGGACTTGTGGGGGAAACCGGGGCACACGGTGGAAACCCACGCGAACACGGGGAGAACATGCAAACTCCACACAGAAACGCCAACTTACTCAGCCAAGGCTCAAACCAGCGACCTTCTTGCTGAGGCAAACATGCTATACACTGCGCCACCGTGTAGCCACCACACACTTCTTAATGTACCAACATATTTCCTAAAGGTTTAGATTAAAGAATATGAATAAATACTTATTTTTACAATACAAATTCATTACATCATATATCATAAGAAAAAATAGGAAGCTGTTAATATTTTAAATTAAAAACTGAAGCCTATTGTTATTTATTAGGGAAAAAACAAACTGTCTAGCACATTCAACTTTTCCCAGTTTGAATTTGGCTATTTAAATAGTAAAAAATTAAAACATAATAATAAGAATAATAAAAGAGCTTCATGATTTTTCTTGCCTCTCTTGTAAAAAAAGTACATTTGATTGAAAGTTCATGGATAGCAACAATAGCCAAATTAGCCTCAAATTAATTCATTTAATTATGGTCCCCTTTTGGTGCATCACACCTTTTTATCAGTCATTTCAAGTGTAAGGTCCAAGATTTAGATTAAAAGTTACTTGTAAAATGTTTTCTCTTTTAGAAAACAATACCTCAATTACATCCAATTGAATGTTTTCTCGCCCAGCTGGATGTTCGACTCATGTAAAATAATAGTTTACATTGGCCAAAACTGATTAGCTGAAGTGCTACACTGATGCAACAGAGGGTTCGGTTTGGTCTTAAAGCCTTTTTCAATGGGTTATTTTCACAATGTATGATGGTGTAGCAGTCAAAATAGAACAAATGAGCTCATGGACAAATTCTGGACCTTTGTCAATGAGGTGTGGGTCTTTCGAACCACTCGAAGCCCCCTCCCCTTGCCTACAGGCCTGACCTACATAAATAATTTGAGCTTTTTTGTCCACTATTTCAATTTTGTTCTCACACTGAGCCCATTCGTGTTCGGCAGTAAATTAAAAGGCAAATTAAATATATTTTGTCTTCTCAAATACACAGAAATTTACAGAATACTCTATTAAAATTGTCTGAAAATAGCTTGAGTGAATTTTTTTGTGATTTTTTTCAGTTAAGACAGATTAGGTATTTCTTTTATACCCATTGTTAGTCATTCACTTGAAAAAAAACACAGATTGATCTATACGGTGTGGTTTCAACACGTGACTTACTACTTTTTTATTTTTTTTTTTACAAAATAAAAGCATTTCAACTAAAACCTAGCTGAACATTAAAACCATAATATTGTGATGAACATTTCAGTTTCCACCATATCTGATTAAATATGGACAAAGCTATGCACAAAAAATGTTCTTTTCCCCCAGTTTATAAACTAAAGTGTAATGTCAGCTCAACGAGACCTGCAGTCAAAGTTATCCATTATGGGTTTTTGTTATATCCTCTGTGAACAAAATCAGGAAAAAGTGACCAAATGCAACATTATCATGCATCTGATTATGAATATACTGTATAGCCAACATTGTTTATAAGCTGCT